GTCAATTACGCTTTACTGTCCCCAATTGCGCGCGCCTGCCCTACCCACTTTGGGCTTCCTCTTGTTTTTTTTTTATATTCTGTGGTTTGTACCTGCTGCTCAAAAACAAAGCACTTAGAAAGCTAACCATTTTTGTAACCATGTATAATAAATAATAATGAAGGGATTTCTTTCTGAGGTAAGTTATATTTAGTTACTACGCACGTAGTCATAATTAATGATATCTATTAAACACAAATTTTTACTTAAAACCTAAGATGTTGCAAATACAGACGGGATTTGTTTTGTTCACGAATGTCGCCAGGCTGATACAGGCTGTTACCGTGTACATGTGTAGTGTAGTATAGCCCCCACGACTATATATATATATATTAGTGTTAAGGTAGAATAAGAACATTATAATTAAACTTATAGCAGTAGCAACACGCCTCTTTTCATTGACTCATTTCCTATATCACATGGCGACCCTGCCAGGCGGTGCGCTGCAACAATGCAAGCGCACCGCCGCGGCCTACAAAATGATTAAAATTACAATATAATTTAATTATTGTAATTTACTCAAATTGACACAATTATATACCCGGACTACACAGAATATATACCCGGATGTGAAACAAAATTAATAAATAATAATACAAGATGAGGCCACAATAATAATAGACTGAAAAATTAAAAACTATAAAGTATATGAAGTAATATAATATATTTATCTTTAATATAACTATGAAGGCAACTAAGAAGGAATGAGGAAAATAAAAAGTGATTTTTTAAATATAATTACCAAAGAACAAAATTCAAGAAACGGCAGGTTTATTTAAAAAGGAAAGCAGCGGTTTTACTCTTGCAAGCTTCGTCCAGAAGAACAAAGAAGAACTTAAGAGGTAACTTCGCACCTGTGTTATTTTAATTTTATTTAAAACTTTATTTATCAATTTGAGATTGTTTTTATATTCTTTTTGCTATAATATTTGTTGAAGTTAAGTATTAAATATTATATTATATAAATATATTTCATACACGTATGTTTAAATTGAAATTATTTATCAGATAATTCACGATACAATTGATTTTTCAATATTTTTATCAGTATTTATATATATAAAAAAATGCAATCATAATACAATATCAAAAATTAAGCACATTACATTTAGGGCAATTATGGCATTTGTATTAAGGCACAAGACAATTTTATATTAAATTTTATTTAGTTATTGTTTATTGTTTTATATTGTTTTTATTACTGTGCAGGACACAATATAAAAACGAATGAAATAATATAATAGATTACATTTTTACGTACTTAAATTTACCATAGTTTACCATAAATTAATTTTTCGTATAAATAAAATAATACTGATATATTGTTAAATATGATATATTTCGTTGTTTTTTTTTTCTATATGTAGTAAATTTTATTTAAATGTTTTGAAAAGGGTTAAAAATAATTCGGTATTAATAAGTATTAGGTTTTCTTTTCTTTTATAAAGGCAGTGACTTTAAAGTTATATAATAACCCACTTAAAAATTAAAATTGTTCTTTTGAATGTCAAAAGTTATGTGAGTAATTAATGTTTTGTTGTGTAAAGTAGATATGTGTTACAGTAATTAATCCATAATATTAATCATGTATGTACGCGAGCCGTGTACGTGAAAATTATGGTTCAATTAAATAATGATTAATAAATACTATAAATGTAAAGAAATAAATAGAAAGAAAACAAAAGTTGACCTGCATAAATAAGTAATGGATAAGATACGGGAACGTCCATCATTGGTAAAGCCATAGAATTATTACGCATAGAAACGCAGTCTAGTACAAAACACGAGCGTTAAAATGATGGAAGTTCATTATGTTGGTGAGCGCGAGTCGAATGTGCCTACGCTCGTCACACGCACACATACACGCCATTCAGTGATACCAGCTTCTGGCGTTTGCAATCAAATTGTGCAAATCACTATTTTTTGATTAATGTTAAAAAAATCGATATAATAAAGATTATGTATTACGTACGAAGATGTATTTTATGAGAATATAAAATGGAATAAAATAAACACGATAATGATTGTACTAATATAACTTTATTGTACATATATTATTGGTACAAAAATGCAGACGTAATAAAATTTAAGAATATTATTAAACACAATTAATTTGCTTGAATATAATAAGCACATCGTGTAATGTTTAATTTTAACCGACTTCAAAAAGGGAGGAGGTTATCCATTCGGTGTATTTTTTAATATTTTTTACCTCAGAATTCTACAATTTCTAAACCGATTTAGATTTTTTATTTGAAAGGATATACACACAGATTGATCCAATATACACGCTGAAATTTTAATGGTTGTTTTCCCGAAGTAAAATGATTTTGCCTTAGTAGTACAATATATTTATTAAAATAAAAATTATTAGGATGCAAAAATGGCAGATTTACAATCGAGAAAAACAACTCGAATGCGATCACGAACCAATAGTAATATCTTGCAAGTAGGTCGGGCGTGCAAGCTAGCTTATACCAAATTACTATAATAAAGTCTGACAAAAAAATTCACTGGACGTAATGTTGTGTTACGTTTATCGCACGCGCTACCGCGCGCTTCCTATACAGTGAAGGGCCACTAATAAATGTTCATAACATGAACTCTCAAGCGTAGTGATACGACATAAACTAGTCTGGACGCCCGACTAGCTTGTGAGGTATTACTATTGTAAATCTGCCCTTTTTTAATTGTAATATTTTTTTATTTAATAAATTGACTCTACTATCAAGACAGTATAATTTGGCTGCGGGACAACAACCACTAAAATTTCAGCATGTATATACGAATTGATCAAGCTTAGAAATCAGTGTACATACATATTGATAGCCTTTCTTTTTGGGAATCGGTTAAAATAGGCTATGTTTGGGTCTAACGTAACATCTGGTTAATGTTTGGGTGTAAAGTGACATCTGGTTACTAAAGGCGTTCTTATTAATAATCTCTTGATGTTGTAAATAAAAAAGTTTTTATTCTATACTCTAAAACTTAGCCTTAGTCAATAAATAAAAGAATTAAAATAAAATAGTTGCGTTAAAATGGTGTCGACGAATCGCGATTAGCTGATCACTCCGTATTTTTAGATAGTTTTAAATAGGCACCCATTATTAATTTAATGTTAACACTTAGAGAAGCAGGTATATATATAAACATTTGAGTTTTACACAGAGCGTTGCGATTAAACGTTTTAAACACAAATAGAAAATAAATATTTTTAAAAGAAAATTGTGATTTTTTCCCCACAACTAGCAACATTTGTATTATGAGAGCTTAGGTAAGTATTTTTTTAGTTTTACGTACTTATAATGAATTAAATGTATAAACTTATATGTGAAATGTAATACCATCACTTCTTTTATGTTAATCATCACCGTTGTGACAATATTTTACAACACAAACAGTAATTTTTACAATTCTTCGCGAGCTCTTCTCCGTAAGACGTGACGTTCCGCATTGACGCGTCGCTGAGTCAACTAACGCGGTTTCGCGTTAGTTTTACTTGCTTCACTTTCGGTGCGCGTACTAGTATTCTATGCGTAATAATTCTATGGGTAAAGCATATAGTCCTCGAGCAGGGTATGTTTCCATGATTGGATGATAAAATCGGAAGTAACGGGTACTAGGGAACAATACCTTCAGTACAAGTGAGATGTGAACGAGTTTACTCATATTAGTACTGTTGGGGACCAGAGAAGTCTTAAATTTGTTAGCCTTAATAATGGTACATAGAGGTCACATCCTTCATTGGATCATAGTGTGAACTTTGACTTTCCTCTGTGACAATTGTTGGAGTCCTTTTAAAATGACTTAAACGTAGACCTCAAGGTTTTGCGCACAGCACAACCCAAGGTAAAGTTTTACCTTGATATAGTATAATAAAAAAAAAGTTTATGTACCAATAAAATGAAATAAATGTTATGAAAAAGTAATATAATACCGAAGTAAATGGGGGGCCCATATGTGTAAAGTACCCGCGTGATAAATATCACGAATAATATAAATGAAATGAATTAATACTCAGATTCCCGATATCTAATAAATAAATAAATAAATATACAAGTGAATAGAGAGAAATAAAGTTAGTTATAGCTCGAAATATCCAGAAAAAAAAGTACGTACAAGAATTATGAAAAAAAAAGATAATAAAAAGGCCTAACAATCGAAAATAAGGAATGAGGTGAAAATGTATAATAAATAAATTAATAAGAGAAGAGTATTTTAAAATATAAATAAATGTGCAACTATACTAGATCTTCGCGAATTACCTAATTATGTCAAATAAGTATGTCGTATGTATGCATGATACATCATACCAATTCCATTGTGACATTGAAATTACTATGGGGCAGATGGATCTGGCCACCCGAACTACCCATAGAATATACCTATATTTGTATTTTTGTAATTTATATTTAGGTCTTTGTATTCATTTATTTTTTATTTTTTTTATCGGTGGGAGGTGTAGTGTAGTATAGCCCCCACGACTATATATATATTAGTGTTAAGGTAGAATAAGAACATTATAATTAAAGTTATAGAAGCAGCAACACGTCTCTGTTTCAATGACTCATTTCCTATATTACACATGTATGGTCTCACGTCTCACCTATCTTTCTCCCTCTAACATACGCGTAAGCTTTGCTCTTTCTCATTTTCATTGCCAATCTATTCTAAAATCAGTTTATACTTAATCTATGCATCTGTATCACTGTGATGTACATAATGAAGAATTTTGTGAACAAAATTCACGTCAGACAAGGCTGTAAGGCTGTAACCCATACGTTCCTGTACCTATTAGTAGAAAAACTGCATACGAATTACGAATGTCATCTGTCCTGTCACTGCTGTCACTGTCAATGTCATGTCAATACGAATGAGATCATTGATAAGGAATAATGATGAGAAAAGATAAATAAATGTTTCTATTAATATATAAAAGCCCAATATCCTAATCTGCAAATATGGCAGAACGAATCCGTCAGATCGTGCAGCGAGTAAAAGATAAAGTACATTTAGTACAAATCAACACTAATAGTCGTGATAAAATTGACCAGTTAATTACCAAGTATGTACCAGCGACCCGGGTCACGGAAATGGCAGACAAATTTAAATATGCAACTGTTTCTAAAAAATTTCAAGACCTGGTTTCTAGGTATGAAAAGTTCACAGGCGTTGAAGAGATAATGGCGATACAAAATACAGTAATTGAAGCTCAGGTAATTTAAATAAAAATATTATCTAAATAAAAAATAACCCTGTATTATTCAGACGTTTGGTAATTCACTATTGAAAGGTATGTAACAATCAAAAATTACCATATAATTTTAAAAGATAATTGATATAAATGTCAAAGATTTGTTTATTTTACATTAATTATATATTTATAAGAGCTGTAAGTAGCTTAAGGGCAGTAATCCGGGTTCGATCTCCGCAAGCACTAAAGAAATTGTAATTGCAATTCTAAATACTTATTAACCACATGCTAAGCAGTGATGAATACCATTGTGAGGGAACCTGTATGTCTACTGAGTATAAATATTTTGAAGACATGTGAAGTTAACCGAGTCACACTGGAGCAGCACGGCCAATTAATTGCTACATTATTTTCTCATAAATAAGAGGAGGGCTGTAGTTACTAGTGAGATGGGTAAAGAATATTCTAATATCACTCTCGCACTTTATATTTCCAACACACGTCACTATATACTTGTGCAAGTAAAAACTTGCATATACTGTTACAGAAACATGCCAGGTTGTATGTTTCATCATGGTTATTTCACATGCAAAAACAGTAATGTTGTTGTGTTTGAAGAACAGTCAATATCTCTAGCACTGATTGCCATGGTGCTGGAGGTCAAATTTCATCTGTACTATGTGACAATTAAGAGTTAGAATAATGAAGAATTATTTGTTTATTCATTATTATGCAGGTAAATTAGCAATGTTCCTCATTATATCCTGCTGAAGTAGACTTCTTCCAACTAAACAAATTAAACCCTCTTTTAATTCACAATCTATATCACTACAGCCCATCACAAATAACACAGAGTTCACATAGGCCTAAAATTGCAGTGTTACTCAAATTCCCACTAGAGGGGATGTCAAACAAGCAAGTGGTACATGGATACAGATGGCTCTGGACCATACTTTTGTGCCAGCCTACGGGGAAAGCTTGTTTATGAGTAGTTATCAAATTAATAGTCTGAGAGCTGGCTACGAAAACGTTAACTGATAAGGTGTAGTAATGAATTATGTATATAACCTCTCCTTGGTAGCTTATAAGTATAGAGCGAGGCCCGTCAGAACTCTCTCCCGCGGCGGAAGGCATGGGTGGGCGGTCAAAGTAGTAAATTTTTATTAAGATAAAAATGATTAGGTGCAGTTCTGAAATTTGGTAGAGTTATAGTTTTTAACTGTAGGAATCTAGGAAAATTATTGTCAGATGTCTAGGTCGGGGCTTAAAGACTGTCAGAAGTCGACAAAGTTGGAAAGAAATTGTTTAAATTTAAACCACAAGGTGCAGTGTTCTGACAAATGCATTTTTATATTATATGTTGTTTATCGAACCTGTATATAAATTGTCAGAAGTCTTAATAATGGCTAAGTACATAAAAATTGATGATATAGTCAGAAGTTGCTGAAGTGGCTATCGCAACGGAAAGCAACGTTTCGAATCTAATTTTGAGTTAAAATAACAAGGTGCAGTTCTGACAATTGCATTTTTATATTATTTATAGCTTACCGAACCTGTACATATATTGTCAGAAGGCTAAATAATGGCTAAGTACAGAAAAATTGATGATATGGCCAGAAGTTGCTGCAGCGGCTATCGCGATGAAAAGGAACGTTTCGAATCTAGTTTCAAAATTACCGCTGAAATCCGTATACCTGCCTCCTGTGTTGACAAAAGAGGGTCTAAACACATTCATCTGGAGCTACCTACGTCGGCTCGAGTTTGCTGTTTATATCGTAGATCGTTTCGAGGATTTCAATACTCTCGGCAAAACTTCTCTATTTTATTTCATTTTTCGTATTATTTATTTACTTTCTATATTTTTTTTTGAGTACGAATTCTTTTCAAAATTAAATAACAAGGTGCAGTTTTGGCTATTTATTGTTGATGAATGTACTACTATTTACGGTAGATGTAAAATAATATGTAAAATAATAATAAATCGGAAAGCTTAAATGGCATTGGCCATATAGCTGGAAGAACCAACAAATAATACAGAAGAAAAGTTTTTCATTGGCAGGCTTGTAATAGTGAGCAAACTATAGGGCATCCCAACACTAGATGAAGTCACTACATAGTAAGAGATGTACTAAGTAGTAGACACCTTGCTCAGGACTATTCCTATGGGCGAGGTCTGTTGTTATGCAGTGAACTGGTGATGGGCTGTAATGCTGATCATGATGCTGAGGATAATGTAATTAATAGCATTACTACTTACTAAATTCTACAAAAACAAACCTTCATTATGTAGAGTACTGGGTATAATTTGTTTTTCCTAATGACAGCTCTTCACGTTGACCAACATTGCGGCGAATGTTGTGGCAAAGATGTTAGCCAAGAGTTTGTGATACGTTGGAAGTCTGTTCAGTTTGCTTCGGTTCAAGCCAAAGTGCGGGCGAATTTATTAAAATGGACATTGAGGTGCTAACGGCTGCTGTGATATATTTATTCACAGCATACTGCTACTACGTGAATGTGTATAAGAAAAGGGTGATCAAAAGGAAATGTAAGAAAAGAAATATTATTTTTTGGGTTCTACAAACAATTGTTTCATTGTTACTATAATTTCGTAGACACTAATTACGACGCGTGAATTTAAAATTTAAATCAGGTGTGTGTGATCACTCTGAGAGCTCGAAGCAAACTAAACTCGCGCCCAACGCCAACGGGTGGACGTAGCGGTCATAACTCTGCCGCAACCCTTTGATCTTTTGTAAAAAAACCGACACCACAGGCAACTCTTGCCAACTTGTGGGCCATCATTCCAATACATACCAAGGTAAGCTCAAACACCAACTCTACAAAATGGCCATAGGTATTGGCCACAACATTTGCCACAATGTTGGCCAACGTGAAGAGCCGCTTTAAAACACACAGAACTCCTAGCCCATCATGGTGAACATGGTTAATATATACCAAGTAATGGACTTAAAAAGGTTGATCATATGATAAAATAATCTTAAGTTACAATATTTGCATCATTATTTAATTACTTAGTTATAACTTTAAACATGATTCAACAATATTATATATTATAGGAAAGATTTATTGGTGCACAAGAAAGGAGGAGAGATCTAGGCAGACAGCTAGCTAGTATCGAGGCTCGTCTAAAAGAATTGCATGCTGAAATGCAGAATACTATGAAAGGAGACGAAAAATATTTACAACTTTGCACAGAGGAACACAAGGTAAATAAAAAATACATATCAGTTGGCGTATTATGATAAACGAATTAATGAATGAATGATTTATGCATCACACACAACACAACATACATAGAAATTAAAATAAAACATTACACAAATACATTGTGTGGTCGCAATTAATTGAATGATATTTTATCAATTAAACAGTCTTGTTTTACTTATAATTTATTAATTTATTACAATTACGTATAAAATCAAGAATTGCTATTGCACCTCTGACACTGCTTATCATTGCTGATCAATATATCTTACATCTAAAACCTCTAAGTTGGTTCTTTTTAGTTCAGTTTAGTTTAAGATGGGCTATTTTCCGCAACTTCACGTCAAAGCGCGTATTTTGCGCGTGGGTAGGAATATCACGGTTATTATAATAGGTTGAGGAAAAAGTTTCTTCATATTCAAATTCAAGAAAAATCTCTTATGTTGTACTGTTTGTATTTGGCTTGTTTTAATATCAATACTTATCAAGACTGAGGCAGAAGATGGGTAGCAGCATCTTTTTGATAAAAGCAAAAAGCTATAAAAAAACTGCGGTGGTGCTGGGGATGGTAGTGCTGGGATTGACGGCGACGGGTATAGTGCGCGCGATTGAGGGAGGGTGGGAGGTCCCCATAAAACTGGACAGGACACATCATTTTATTTCTTTACGCGGAATTAAGCAAATTAATTTATAACAACCCCATTACAATGGATTTCCGCAAAGTAACTCCTGATTCTATCAATTATCAAAACTGCGGTTGTCAACCCGCTCACCTAGTGTGGCAACTATAGCAATATACCCCCCATGAGCAACGACACTAATAAACGCCTCTCAATTCGCGGTCCCGCTATTCCTGGCTACGGTAGCGATCATGGCGGGGCAGGGGGTGCTAAGAATCTCCGGTGGAGGTTCGGTTGCCACCTACGACTACTCGACCTGGCAACTTATAACGCACGCACCCTGAGGACTGAGGAGAAGATCCTGGAGCTGGAAGTTGCGCTGGGATATTATAGGATTATCCGAGGTCCGAACAGAGGACACGGTAAACCTCGAACCCGGCAACTTGTTCTATCACCGGTACGGCGACCATCTGTCCCAATGAGGTGTCGGATTTATCGTCCACAAGTCTCTTGTTAATAAACGTTGTAAAGATTTTGAGTGCTTCGACGAGGGCTGCGTACCTTATACTCAGAATCACCAAACGGTATTCGCTGATGGTCATACAGGCTTACGCACCTACCTCGACGCATCCCGATGAGGAGGTGAAGGAAATTTATGAGGATATCTCTAGAGCCATGCATTCCTGCAACCCAATATACGGTGTTAATGAGACGCTTCAACGCAAAACTAGGCACAAGAGAGAACGGTGAGCTGAAAGTAGGGAAATTCGGATTAGGGCAAAGGAACCCAAGGGGCCAGCAGCTGGCCGACTTCATAAAGAAAAAGGGACACTTTATGATGAACTCTTTCTTCCAGAAGCGGCCCTACAGGAAGTGGACCTGGTCAAGCCCCGACGATTCGACAAAAAATGAGATTGACTTCATTATGACGACCAGACGACAACTGTACAGTGATTTCTGCGTGATCGCGAGGGTGAAAACTGCTAGCGATCACCGTATGGTTAGAGGCCCACAGAACCTAAACGTTAAGTTGGATAGGTGTCATCTAATGAAGTCATCGCTCAATCGTTCTCTAATCCAAAGTCCCTAAATCTTTCAGCTCAAGTTACAAAACCGTTTTCAGTGCCTAGAAGATACAGTGGACGATATGAATGACAAGCTGGTGGAAACTGTCCATGCGGTCGGAGCTAAGCTTTGCAAGATCCGCCGCAGAAGAACATAAAAACTCTCCGATCACACTCTTAATCTCATAGCTGTTAGACGGGAAATGAAGCTGCAGTCTTCAGTAGATTTGATAGCATACAGGCAACTGAACAGACAGATCTCCAAATGCATGTGGCGGGATTTACGCAACTTTAATACTGCTCGTATTGAAGAAGAGATAGAGCGGAACCAGGGCTCCAAAGTCTGTCAGAAAGAGCCAACTGTTGAACTGAACCTGAAGACCGAATGTGGCAGCATTGTTTCCGGGACACCTGAGATTTTAAGTGAGATTGAGACGTTCTATGGGCAGCTGTACACGTCATCGCTGGAGCCATACGCAAGTTTGAGTACCGATCCTAGAACAAATCTTACCCAAAACTATTCCGATGATATCCTGGACATCAGTCTGAGCGAGATTAGAATGGTTCTCCAGCACCTTAAAAACGGCAAGTCCCCGGGCGAGGATGGAATTACAGCGGAGCTTCTGAAAGCGGGTGGAAAACCGGTACTTAAAGTCCTTCAGAAGCTCTTTAATTCCGTCCTCCATGGTGGCACTTCTCCGGAGAGGTGGAACAGAAGTGCGGTGGTCTTGTTCTTCAAGTGAGGCGACAACGCTCTCTTGAAAAACTACAGACGGATTTGCCTTCTGAGCCGCGTATACGTGTTGTTTTCGAGAGTCATTACGAATCGTCTCGCACGCAGACTCGACGTCTTCCAGCCTCCCGAACAAGCCGGTTTCCGAAAAGGCTTTAGCACCATAGACCACATACATACCCTTTGGAAAATTGTACAGAAGTCCGAGGAGTACAATCTGCCACTATGCCTTGCGTATGTGGACTATGAGAAAGCCTTTGATTCCGTCGAAATTTGGTGCCGTGCTGCAGTCCCTTCAGCGGTGCCAAGTGGACTGTCGGTATATCAAAGTGCTGAAGTGTTTGTACAGTAGGGCAACGATGGCTATCCAAGTACAGAACCAGAGTACGAAAGCTATCCAACTGCAGAGAGGTATAAGACAGGGTGACGTAATATCCCCGAAACTCTTCACCGCTGCATTGGAAGACGTTTTCAAGCTACTGGACTGGAAAGGATACGGTATTAACGTCAATGGCGAGAACATCACTTACCTTCGATTTGCCGACGATATAGTCCTTATGGCAGAATCACTGGAGGACCTAAGTACTATGCTCAATGACCTCATTAGTGTCTCCCAACGGATAGGTCTTAAAATGAACATGGACAAAATAAAAATCATGTTTAACGTCCATGTCACACCTATGCCGGTAGTTGTTGGGAGCACTAAGCTCGAAGTTGTTGACGAATATTTTACCTGGGACAAATAGTTTAGGATTCAACTCGGTCTAGCCGAGTTGAATCCTAGTCGAACTATTCGTCACATCTTCTCGTCAGACACCTCAAAACCTCCAAACTAGGTGTACAACCAGTGCATGTTGCCAGTGATGACCTGTGGATCCGAGACGTGGTCCTTCACTGCTGGCCGTATGAGGAAGCTCAAAGTTGCTCAGCGAGCTATGGAGAAGGCTATGCTCGGCGTTTCTCTGCGTGATAGACTGAAAAACGAGGATATCCGCAGTAGAACCAGAATAACCGACATAGCCCAAAGAATTACTATGCTCAAGTGGCAATGGGCCGGCCATGTAGCTCGAAGAACCGATAACCGATGGAGAAGAAAGATTCTCGAGTGGCAGCCTCGTACCGGCGGGCGAGGTGTAGAGCGTCCTCCCACTAGATGGAGTAACGACCTGGTAAGACAGGAAGTCAATGTATGCAGGTGGCTTGTAACCGTGCTTTGTGGCATTCCTTGGGGGAGGCTTATGTTCAACAGTGGACTCGTGAAGGACTGTAATGATGATGATAATGACATATCAAGAAAAAGAAAAATAAAAAGTAAAAAACACTGCCGCCATTTTTCAATTGTTCTTCTGTCCGCCAAAATGAGTGTCTAACGAAGAAATTCGATATGTTCTGAAGTGTTATTACAAAAAATAAAAAGGCGATCAAGCCGCGAAAAAAATGTGACGTTTATGGACATAATGCAGTGTCAGTAAGAGTAGCACAAAGTTGGTTCAAGCGTTTTTAGTCCGGGAATTTTGATGTCAAAGATGCAGCTTGCTCTGGTCGCCCTCATATGGATAAAGTCGATGCCATTTTAGAAAAAGTGGAACAAGATCGGCATATTAGTATTTAAGATATAGCTGAGGAGTTGAGAATTGACCACAAAACAGTTTTGACCCATATGAAAAAGTCTGACTATTCAAAAAGCTCTATATTTGGCGAGCGACGAACGAGCTCACTGAAAGAAAGCTAATGAATTGTGTACTCATTTGCGATTCTCTATTGAAACGTAATGAAACCGAACCATTTTTGATAAGATTGATCACTGGTGATGAAAAGTGGGTCACGTACGACAAGAACGTGCGAAAAAGATCATGGTCGAATGGTAGTCAAGCTCCATAGACTGTAGCGAAACACGGATTAACACCCAATAAGGTGATGCTGTGAGTATGGTGGGATTGGAAGGGCATTGTTTATTATGAGCTTTTACCGCCGGGCAAAACCATCGATTCGGATCTTTACTGCTACAACTAATGAGACTCAAGCAAGAAATTAAGAAAAAACAGCCGGAATTGATTAAAAGAAAAGGAGTGGTCTTTCATCATGATAATGCCAGACCACACACATCTTTGGCCACTCAGCAAAAATTGAGAGAGCGTGATTCCACGTATAGTATCCACCATATAGTTCTGACCTTGCACCCTCAGATTTTCAACTGTTTCGGTCTCTTCAGAATTCTTTGGGTAGTGTTAGGTTAACATCAAGAGAGGACTGTTAAAACTACTTGTCGCAATTTTTTTTTAAATCAAAATCCCAACTTTTCTACAGTAACGGGATTATGTCACTACCTACAAGATAGGAACAAGTTATAAACAAAATGGCACATATATATGATAGTTAAATGTAATTAAACTTTGAAAAAAACATGTCTTGAATTTGTATATAAAATACAAAGAAACTTTTCCCCCGACCTTTTTATTATTAGTTATTTAATAGTATTTATTTATTAGTTCTTACAACAGCCATGGCTTGAAACAAATTCTCTTACACCACGGCCATAATTTGCCGGAGAATCTTTAACTATTACATCATTATAATTATAACACAAACAATACCGCCATGCTATTGGTTATTATTCGTAGTTTTTTTTTTAAAACGTCACCCCCACACTAGGATTTTCTCCTGTGTCGTGGAGGCAGTTTACAAACATAAATTGCACTTTGTAGGCCATACAAATACTTGTTCCGTCCGGGATTCGAACCCACGGCCCCCAGCGCAACAACTTATTGCTAAGCCACTGCGCCACGGAGCCGTCAGTTGTTAGCTTTGGTCCACCATACCAGAGTGCTGTAAGAGATCATGGGTTGAATCACGATTTTAGGTGACAAAACCCCTCATGTTTCTTCATTGCTAGAATGTTTTTGTTGGTTTTGCTTATCAAATGAGCTAATTCCAGTTTTCACGTGGTAGCTATATTAATAGTATAGTTGTAGCACGAATGGGTCGGCTCGAACGGGGCAGGACCACGCTCTCACAGAATACCAGCGTAAAATAGCAGCTTAAGCTGCTGTGTTTCGTATGGTGGGTGTAGAGAACCGGATACCCTTTTTACTGGAGAGGCATTCCATCTTAGTTCTCAAAGCTGACAACGCATCTACATTTTGATTCGCAAACGAGGATGGATGCAGATGTCTATGGGCTACAGCAACCACTTACCATCAGGTGAACTGTGTGCTCGTTTGTCACCCTATTTCAATTAAAAAAAAAGATTGTTGTCTAAGATACCTATCCTCGAAATATAGCTGGAGCTTAGTGTCGAAAATCTTCAATTATATAGCTGTTGAGCACTCCTATTAGTACTCCAACACTATACGTAAGGCCGCTTGCTTTAAGGTCACAAACCATACTGGCCGATTTTTCTAATACTCGTACTACTAGTATCACAGGTCATTTGCATATTCGATTGTAAAAAATTTGCATTCAATTTGCTTATGATACCATTTATCACCATTTTCCAAAGGAGTGATGATAAAATTTGACGGCTCCGTGGCGCAGTGCCTTAGTAATGAGTTGCAGCGCTGGAGACCGTGGCTTGAAATCCCGCACAGATCAAGTATTTTTTTTGTATGGCCTACAAGTAATTGTTCTGTATGTTTGTCCATGTGCAATTTATGATTGTAAACTGCCTCTGCAATTTGGCAGCCTTTCAATATTTGCGCTGACTGTGATTGCTATTTTTTGTGAATATTTGTGAAAATGTTTGGATGTGTGTTACTACTTCAACACTCATAAACGGGCAAATAGATTTGAATGAAATTTATTCAAATTAATCGTGAAATGAAATTAATCGTGGTTCACATGTGGGTAAACTATTTACTATAGAAAATATATGTTACCATCGTAAAATGAACATGAATATATGTATTTCTTTTTCCACACTGGTAAAAGCTGTGAACATAAGCTAGTATAAAATATAATAGGAATCAGTCCCCGGACTTGCTCACCCCTGCTGCCATTTATTACAGTTATAGGATAAAATGATAAACGGACTCATAATTTATATATTATGTGGATAAAATTATTAAAAGTATAATTTTCATTACTTGATAACAGTTAATAATACAAGAGCGCGCTCTGCGGACCATGTTTTCCGACGCTGAAAGAGAAGAACGAGAACTATTTGCCTCCATGTCAGGAGCTGTTAAACTGGGACACGAACGGGAGAGGGCACACGCTGAGCGCAACAAGTATTGGTACATTGTTGCGTCTATTTTTGGTAAGATCTACATGATAACTTCGTAGAATAAAATGGTTCTAATGTTGGACGGTATTAGGTAATAAGTTGGCAAGCTCATGATACAGTAGTCAATTAGACTCAAGTTGAATTCGTAAGTATTGGGTTTGAAACAAACTAACAATTCAAATAATGGCTCACATTATTATATTGCCAGCTGTATTATATAGAATAGAATAGAATAGAATATTTTTTTATTCAATATTGATCATTACATAATACTTATTGAAAGTAATTTTTTTATTGACCACTGGTTCGGAAAACACCCCAGTCCTGGGAAGAACCAGCAAGAAACCCAGCGGGCCTTTTTTAAACATAATTTCACTTAACAATAATTTTGTTTATACAATAAATATTTATTCAAAATTATAATATAAAGAAATTTTAAAACGAAACATCAACAATGTTCTATGTATATTGTATAACATATAAATTAATATATATTAGGGATTCAAGAACTGTACCTTTTAAGAACCAGAAATTTCAGTACCTATCTTTTTTTTATAGAAGAGGGGGTAAACGAGCATGCAAAACCAGGGGAATTGCAGTTGTTTTAATTTTAATTTCCACGTGTTCAGTCATTATCATAAATCCGTAAAGAGTTCACTGCTGTTGATTCTAAAAAAAAAAACAAAATTGTTCTGTAATCCGTGTATATTATTGTAAAATAAAGAAAACAATATCCCTGCCCTAAAAAGTGCGTGTACCTATTTTCTCTATTTTCACAACATTCAATGCTACAGCGCTCGTTATATGTTAATTTTAAAAAAAAGAAAATTATTTAGTAAGAGCTATTTTTCGGATTTTTAAAAAATTTTACTGGCATCCTAAAATCCCATCTCATAAAATCTGCCGTCCATGGCTATGGTCCCCTAGGTCATGAGATCTTTCTGCCATTTATTATAGTCGTTCCTTGTAACGAAATGAATTGACTACAGCCGTTCCGGACGACGATATACACATATATCACACCAATCCTTCATCTTTCAGGCACAGTCTTAGGTATAGCAGGCTCCACTATAAACAATCGCCTCAAGATGGCAGAATTCCGCGACATGATGGAGCAACAAATGGCGCGTAGTGCAAGTGTTCTGTACACTATCGCGGGCGGAGGTACTGCGAGCAGAGCTGACATAACAGAAGCCATGAAAACTGAATTCGCTTATCAGGTAAGTTTTGTTAAAATTATAAGTATATACAATACAAATACAATACAATACAAATACCATACAATACAAATACCATACAATACAAACACTCACGCCTGTCACCCAGAGGGGTAGGCAGAGACTACGGACTTCCATTTGGCGCGATCCTGACACACTTCTCTCGCCTCCTTTACATCCATATATGTACGCATACACGCTTGTCGGTTAAGGGTACTCCTAATCTCGCCCATTTTAAATGTATCGTCAATTTGGTCGATAAATCTTTGTCTAAGGCGTCCCTTCCCGACTTTGCCGTTCACTTCTGAAACATAAATTTGCTTTGTCACTCTTTCCTCGTTCATTCTTTCTACGTGACCAAACCACCGAAGCATTCCTTTTTTAATCCTAGTCACAACGGCATCTTGCAAACCACACTTTTCTCTTATCACACTACTTCTCACCCTGTCATTCAGATTCAGCCCTAGCATACTACGTAATGACCGCATTTCTACAGCCTGTATTCTACTCTCATGCTTCTTCTGCCATACCCAACTTTCACTACCATACATTAAAGTAGGGACTAACACACCATTATGAATTGCCATACGTGCCTTCTTTGACACATTCTGACTCTTCATAATAGCGTGTAGAGCCCCATTAACTTTATTTCCTGCATTATATATATTTATATCTAATCAATTTAATTAAACAGCCTCTAATGAGTAACTCAACCAACGCTTCTGGATTCCACCGGACAAGCCAGCAATATCAATGGCAATTCACAAATATAAGAAATGTTTAATTAATTACTAGTAAAAATATTAAATTTTAAAACTATCGCCACCGTTATGCTTTGAGCTATTGTTTGTTGATTGAACAAGTAAATAGGGACGACAATTTAAAATAATAATATACAAGGGGCGATTTGATGGGTGTAGGTAAATTAAACAAGAAAGCTTCGTAGCTTCAAGCTTCTCCCATTATATGCCATTAATAGAATAATAAATATCAAAGTTTGCCAATCAACTATGACAGGAAATTGTGTCTAAAACGCAAGGTCTATAGGTACTGCATACCCTAAAAAATGTGTAATATTAATATATATTGCTGTATCGAGAGATGCCTATTTAAAGTCATTTAAATTAAGAAAAATAAAGCGATAATAAAAATCATCTACTCGACTTCATATGTTTTTTTTATTTCTTTCCAGGAACAACTTGCGGAAAACCTCCAATTGATGCAAGAGAATATAAATAATCTAGTCAATAAACAGGCTTCTTTAATTGGTTAGTAATTAGTGAAACTTAGTTTATTTCTATCAAAATAAATGGAACCTACAGTCCACCTGATGGTAAATGTGGTTTAAGAGCGTTATTTCCCAAAAGAATATGCACTCACTTACTGAAAAACAAAATATCTTAACTTAAAAATAAATTTTTTATTAAATAAACATAACATATATATAACACAAAATTTGTACATATTATACAGGCATAATGTCTATATGTATTATGTACAAATTTTGTGAGCCCCACCCATATGTGAACTTAAGACTTAGATTAAAATACGGATATAGATAAGTGACTACTGAGGCCCATGAATCACTCCTAATCTTCTTTTTGCAAAATCTACCGCTAGATTTTACACACTAAGAAAGCGGCAACTGCCATACATAAGTTGATAGATTTCACTTACATACCACACTTGGCACGCGAAATAGCAAGTGTTACCATTGCACTGATAATTCTGCTCCTCGGGGAGCTGTTGGGAGAGGCCATGTCGTGCAAAGAGCAACAGTGCAATTATGTAACTCTGGTAGGAATTGTGGTTGGCTTCGTTTTGACGTTTGCCCTTTGGTTTTATTGTATACGAAAATCTGTCATTTAATGACACCCTTTTTTATAGTATAAGGGTGATAAACGACCACACCACCACCTGATGGTAAGTGGTTGCTGCGGCCCATAGACATCTACATCTATTCTCGATTACGAATCAAAATTCAGATGCGTTGTCACCCGTGAGGACTAAGATGTAATGCCTCGTTTCCAGTAAAAAGGGTCTCCGGTTCTCTACACACCATACGAAACACAGCAGCGTTAAGCTACTATTTTACAATAGTATTCTGTGAGAGCGTGGTCCTTCCCCGGTCGAGCCGACCCAATCGTGCTACAACTATACTACTAATATAGCTGCAGCATGACTCTACCACGTATATATATAAAAATAAGTAAATTAAGCTGGTTACAAATACGTAGATATTACTTCATCATATTAGTTAATTTCAAAAGTCCATATAATAAATTATTTAGGGTAAACATGTTTTCGTTTACCTATATTCTCATGTTATTACAGTTTTGATAAAATTGAGGTGTAATGATTTTGAGATGAAGAAATATAATGATAATAGCTAGGTTATGCATTTTTCTTTTGCCAGTGAAGTGTATGTTTATTGTCATCTTTCAGAGCATTTGAACCATCAAGAACATGTGATAGAAACACAAATGCGGGAACTGAAACGATTGGTAGTCGCCGCATCGCAAACAAGCGCCAAATCCGATGCCGAGTTAGCAAAAGCGCTTTCCGCCGTACACCAAGATTTAGATGATGTCGACAAAGACAAAGACGAACTGCAGCATAAAGTCATTTTAGAGCCAAATCAAATATTAACAGGCATAGGCATAATAATATGCGCCGCCATTGTTTTTGGCAGCATTGTCGGACGCATAAGCTGACTTCTCATTAGCGTACTTTTATCTACACCAAATTTGCTTACTTTTTTTTTTACCCGACTGCCCCAGAGGGAGTTAAATATTGTTCGAGATTATATATGTATGGCTATTTCTTTAGCATGTTCTATAGTCTAAACGGCTTGATGGATTTTAACGTTGTCATAATGAGCCTTACCAGTAGATAAAAATTTGGATTTCAAATATATCTGTTATAAAAGCATATTTTACGTACATCACACTAGTTTTTGTTTGACGCCAATACACGACACATACACAATTACCCAGATTTCGCGGGCTCGTGGTGTGACGTCATCCCTCGCGACTCTCACTGCTCAGCGCCATCCACCTACGTACGCAAAGGTCGCACACACTTGTTTATTCGCAATTTTTTTCTTCTCTAATGTAAGAAGTTTGTAAGAGTTGTTGTAGGGGTTCATTTTAACAATTTAATATAGAAGTCTGCCATTCTGACATTTTACCTGAAGTGAATTTGAAAATCGTTAAAATATATGGCAGCTCTATATTTCTTAATAAATAAAATAGTGACTGTGGCAGCAAGGTAAGCATTAACTTATCTATGAAGAAGTACCAAGGTTCGTTAGGAATATTACATGTCATGTCGTACCTGAATCAAGGCTGCAACAGAACTAACTAGGGACAGCATTGGTCGAAAAGTTTAGTAAGGACTGAACTTGTGTGAAGTAGCCGCAACATCTCCACTCTTTTCACTCTCACATCTTCATTCAGATTTTTTTAAAATAATTTCTGCTTTTTTACGTTTTTTGCAACGGACCGTACAGGCTTTCATTTAATTGCTTTTGACAAGCAAACGTTTTAGCCACTACGCCTTAACTTGTAGCAGTCCTCGTCTTGTAAAGTCCTCAACTTGAAAACAAAAATTTATATATTTTGTGACGACTTGTTTGGTATATACTATTAAATGCTCCCAGGTTCGATTTCCGAGCGGAAACGATTCTGGTTTATTTGTTATTGTATGAATGACATTTTTATATTTTTAGAGCCATGTTTATTCAAAATAGTTGTTCAGGTTCTAACCATAGCTAAAAATATTTCACACACATTTTATAAATGTGGGTCTCATCAAGTTTAATAGTCTTGCCTGTGCCAACAACATTTTTATTGCATATTTTATGAATATTTACAAATAATACGGCCCACTAGCTGCTGTAGGTTGAACAGCCCTGCATTTTATATACAAAAAATCTCGATTATAATAAAATAATCAAAATTGATATAGGTAAGCCATATTAATTACCTATATATATTTATTTTGAATGCACTCTAAAGACCTTTACACGCCAATAGCAGTGTGATAAGAAAAGTGAAATCTAATCTCGATACGATTACCTTATAATGTGTAATAATCATGATTATTATGATTTTTCAAATACACAATAATATATTTTTTTTAACATCATAATGATCCATACAACAGGATGCGGTAGTTTTTGGTTCAATAGAATCCACTCTCTTCATAAAGATCATCCACTTTTATTCTGATATTTACATACTGTACTGGACCATAAAAACAATTTATTTGGTGGTTTTTGGTTATATTTATTGTAGCATTCGGGGACGACATAATACTTTATGACATCTTTAGTCAAAAATAATAATCACAGTGGTGATGGTGAGAGACCCACTCGAAATTGCGAGCGAAATAGTAAGTTCGCGTAAAGTGTGCGGCGAGACGTGAGTGGTGACGTCATCGCGCTTTGTCCGGCCGGCCGAATTTTGACAATAAGATCGTGCGAGAACACTAGTGTTCATTATGTCAGGCATTTTTTAAGAAATAGGATAAAAATATAAACAAAACATTTTTCTTGCAATTTTCTCTAGTTTTGTAAACACATAACAAAAATCGTTAGCCTTGTAAATTGTGGGAGTGACATATATAATATTTTATATATCATGATGGCAAATACAAATAAAAGCTTTTAAAAAAGGGCTGGTAAGGATGTTTTTCAGTAAAGTTTTTAACGCAGTCGGGTTTTTATAATTGCTGTTTTAACCATTAAGCTTGTGTGTGAAGGGAAAGATTGCACTAAATAATTTTACCATAAAATCATGCTTACAAATCCAAATAATAAGTACTAATTTTTTAGTAGATTTTACATAAGAATTATCGTCTTTTTGCTGTGAATTAATTTAAGTGGTAATAAGGCTATTGTTGCTGTTTAATAATTTAATAATTTTTATAAGTAGCGGCGCGTAAATCTAGTGGTGGTCGTTATTGCGCGTAAGTCGCGCTGATTGACTTATTGCTCATAAGTCGCGCTGATTGGCTCGTACGTATCGTTCGCACGCGCTGATTGGCTGTCCAGTCGCATACGTGCAATTTAATGTGCGCGTCCCGTCTAAGTTTTGTTCAGCGCTAGACTTACGTGCCGCGACTTGAACGCTGCTTTTAATATATTATTGCAATGTGCTCCACTATTCTAACTAGGTTCATAATAAACTTAGCATACATTACCTATAAGATGGATTACATTTTTTTAGCTTAAAATGGAGTAATAAGTTATTTTTTGGTATACATTATACTATATTTACAGGTATAATACAAGGGTTCTGTGGCAAAGTAATTTGTCATTTTGTAAGAATAATTTTAACTGAGAATGTGTAAAAACAATAAATACAGTATTCATTGTTTTAATGACCTTTTTATTGAATCTGGCCATTCAAAATATAAAGTTACAGAATTGTATTCAGGTATTGTAGCGGTGGCTAATGCATGCACTGGAAACATGAAACAAACTTCAATGAAATAAGCCGAAGGAGCTGTACTGGCTCGCTACACCCTTTAAACCGGAACACAATTGTGCAGATTAAATAAACTTTAATAACCTTCTAGAGCTGCTTCTGCGCTTACAAAAACAACCGTGTGTCACTACGAAACTCACACATAACAGTTAAAACAATATACTAACAATTTCACACGCACATAGATACATTATAACACTATCTCGGTGACAGCGATAACGAATACAGACTCGGATCAATCGCTCGACTGATCCACATACCTATTGTATGAGGTCGGGCCTTTGTTCGTAAGAAAATTCTAACATCACGACCGTTATTATTGTAATTTTTAAGTTTAAAAATAATTAATTAGCAATAATGTGATTAAAAATTACTTATATATAGAGATGGGCCGACTAGTTAGGAAAGCGGACTATTCGCCATCTTTTAAAGGCGGTGACTAGTCGGCGACTAATCGGCAAAATATGCCGATTATAATCGGTGGTCAGCAAATAAATTAAACCAACATTTATTCCTACGTAATTGTTTTTTATTATACTTTTACATTAATCTACTGTGATGGCTGTTTTTATGATCATTACCTAGCTGAGCTTTATTATATTAATTACTAGCTGACCCGGCGAACTTCGTACCGCCTAACAGTCGATTCTTTAATTTTTTTTTAAATACTTATTCTGCTATTCGGGACACCGGGTAGCTGACCCGGTAAGATAAAAAAAGAAAAAAGAAAGTTGATAAGTGAACAATTACATTATGACAAAAAATAAAAATTATAATTGTTTTGCCTTCCCGGAACCCCTCCACTAACACTTAAAACTTTATGGTATGGTATTAAAGTTCAAATTGACTTAAGTATTATCGCGAATCTTTTATATGGGAATATAGAAAAGTGTTGTTTTTTACTTTTTCAGGCAATTTTTTAAATTTTTATCTCCCTAATAACCATCTACGTACTTCAAAGAATATTATAAAAAAAGAACTAGTGAAATCGGTTCAGCTGCTCTCGAGATTTGCGCTTAGCAACACATTTAGCGATTCATTTTTATATTATAGATTAATCTGTTACCATATTATAAGTAATTTAAGAATCAGATAGTAATTAAGTATTATCAATCTATGACATATACATAACAAATAAAGAGCTTCTGAAGGACTTCAACTACAGGTTTTCCACCCGCTTTCAGAAGCACCGCTGTGATTCCATTCTCGCCCGGGGACTTGTCGTTTTTAAGATGTTGTAGAGCCATTCTAATTTCGCTCAGACTGACGTCCGGGATATCATCGGAATAGTGTCGGATAAGACTCGCTCTTGGATCGTTACTCAAGTGTGAGGCTCCAACGATGATGTGTACAGCTGCCCATAGAACCTCTCAATCTCACTCAAAATTTCAGCAGTCAGTGCCGCCGCATGCATTTGGAGATCTGTCTGTTCAGTTGCCTGTATGCTGTCAAATCTACTGAAGACTGCAGCTTCATATCCCGTCTAACAGCCATGAGATTAAGAGTGTGATCGGAGAGTTTTTGTGTTCTTCTGCGGCGGGTCTTGCAGAACTTAGCTCTGACCGCATGGACCGTTTCCACGAGCTTGTCATTCATATCTTCCACTGCATTGCAATTTTCTAGGCATTGATAACGGTTTTGTAACTCGAGCTGAAAGGTTTTGGGACTTTGGATTAGAGCACGAAGGAGACGCAGCGTTGACTTCATTAGACCTCTCCAACTTAACGTTTAGGTTACTAGTAAAAAATGGCTCTCCCCCAGAGCCATTCGTCAAACTGCTCGCCGGACAGGAGAGCAGAATAGGTGTTAATCTAGTCCTACTGATAATGTGAAAATGTGAGAATTAGGAGTAGACTAACCCCGCCCTACCTACTACTTACTTCAGTACTTAATAATTTCAAGTAACTAACAAAAGAATAAAACCTCCGGTAAGGTGAAAAATTATAAATCTGAAACCTGAAAACCGCAGAGTGGCGAACCTCATTTTTCAAAATAAATTACAGGAGAGCAAAAAAACATTTATTATTCCCCGATTACTAGCTTTTTTCTGGGATTAGTGGTGACGGGGATAGAGCACGCAATTGAGGGAGGGCGGGAGGTGCTCTTCATACTAGGTAAGACACATCATTTTATTTTATAGAGCGGATGTTTGCGAAGTAACTTTTTAAAACCTTTTATATTATAATTCATCAAATAGATAGGCAGTATACATTTTATTTGAT